CCTCGTGTGGATATGGGTTGCTAGTCGCCGGTCTTGGTGTGTAGCTGGTGGATTTGACTGGTCCCGTTTCCGGGCATGGAGGAACGGAGGGGTTAACTTGAGGGCACGATATTGTGGAATGTGCCACTGACCTGCAGACCGCGCAAGAAATATTCCTGCAGCCAAGGAAAACTCTGCTGTGCAGGTCAGTGTCTAGTGCTCCCCAGTTTGGGCATTGGTTCCACTGTGAAACCCTAACAGCACATTTTGCTGAGAAGAGTTTGTGATATGTGTAAAAGTGCCCTCCCCCGTAGGACAACGCGAGCTCGGCTATCAGCGCTAAATAGTCGTTCAGTTCGCGTCGCCTATGAGGGAAGGCTGAGCAAATGATTTCTGTGAAGTGGCTGAAAGCGATTGAAAACTCCGAAAAAGAAAGTAAACGTGATGAATGTGTATTCAGGTTTTTTAAAGTGACTGAAAAATCCCCGCAGTCTAACTGACGGTTAGAATCGGATACGGGAAGCAGAGAAAGTAACCAAATGCTGAAAACTGTCGAGGAATATGGGTGAGTCGACTGAGTATATTTATAGGCTTTACTCGTGCTGATTGAGTGGACCTGTTGATTACTGATTGCTGACAGCTGGCTGGAATGACTTGATTGTTTGATCATTAGAACGTGTTCCTCCCGAACCTTGTTAATAAAACATCAATTGTTACAAAGCCAGACTGAGTCCATTTGTAACCCTCCAGGCTTTATAGGCTTTCAGAGAGTCACCCGAGTAGGAGGATGGGAAGTTTGTCAGGTAGTTATATATATCCGGATACTGCAGATCTGGGACGTCTTCTTCACCGGAGATACTTGTGAAAAGCACCCCGGGGGCATTGTGTGGGTCGGTAATATTTAACCGATTTAATTTTTTGATATAAAGCTCAATGTCATGCGAATTAAAGTGAGATGAGTACTCCGATGGCTTGAAAGCGTCGGCGCTGGAGCTGGCCATTTTACTGCCAAAATGGCGGCCCGAACACCGGTAGTCACGTGGGGTCCGGAGCTCTATTATGTGTTCTCTTACCCTCTTGGTTTCCCAGTTTGTTGTGTGTGTGTGTGCCACCGTGTACTTCTGTCTGCTACCTTGTGCATCCCTTTTCATTGTTCAAGTTGAAGATAGTACCTGGACACCTTCTCTTGTGTCTGTTGTGTCTCCTGTTTGTTCCAGCCCTGAAAGCTGAGATTCTCTAGTTGCTTCCTCTCTACCAAGCAGCAAGACCAGTGCAGTGACTGATCGTACCCCGCGAGTCTATCTCTCTGGTGCTGTGTGATCATGTCTGGCTCCTGCTGCATCCATTGGCCTTGTGCAGCACATCAACCACAGCACACCAGCCGGTTCACCTTGGGCTGTCGCAGCGGCCACCCTCTCAGCTTGCCTGTCATTTGTGCTTCATTCCCTGCCTACTGTTTGGACTGTTATCTCCTCCTCTCCCACCATCTCTCGTCTTGTCAACTGTCTTGTCAATAAAACCCGTTAAAAGGCATAGTTCACCCAAAAATGAAAATTAGCCCATGATTTAGCCATAGACAGTATAAGAAATTGACAGAGCCATCTCATTGGAACTCAGTTGAGACAGTTGAAGCCCATTTTTAGCGATTTTTGAGCACTTCCGTTCCTGACGCGCAGACTCAAACCGACTCAAACTAAGCTTGATGACGTGAGCAACCTGTCTGACAGAAGCAAATCTTCTAGTAGCTGTACCAAGAGGAATCTGAATCATTCCCTTCCGAAACTTGCAGAGCCGGAGATCGTGAGTATTAGCTGTCCATGAGCTCGCAGCAGGAGCAACTTCATCACTCTCTATGTGCTTCTCCCTTGACTTTATGCCTCCACGTCCCCCCGATTGCCCGCGAGCTTCTACATCTGTCTATACGGTAATTTTCTCTAGTGTGCGCCAGAGAGTTGCGTGTTATGACACAATCGTTAGCCTATTTGTACAAAAACGGCTTCTACGGGGTGATAACGTAAGATACAAAGTAATGGAGCCTTTTATACATTGTCGTGTTTCTTTAGAAATAAATAATGGACAAATGGAGTCTTTAAACGCCTCAGATGTAAAGTTATTCGCTGTCAAAGTGACGCCAAAATGAATGGGAGTCAATGGAAATGCTAACGCAAGTGAAGTTCTGCTACAAGATGGCGGCACCCGGCCGGCTTCAACTTCCGGTCGGTGGATTACCCCCTTGGATTTAGGCCCTGTCCACATGGACACGGGTATTTTTATAACCGTGACTTTTTTTATGTGGTTCGGCGGCCGTTCGTCCACACGAAAACGCACTGAAACCGAACATTTTTGAAAACCCCTGCCAGGGTGAGGATTTTCAGAAACGCCGGTTACAGTGTTGTCGTGTAGACAGTGAAACCGGGGTTTTTGCCTTGCGACGTCAGAGTGTGCGCCGTTATCTGCTGTGTTTGACGTCAGATTTGCGCTTCTGATTGGCCAACATGGCTTTGCGGTTAAGGGTTATATCGCCGCCTGCTGGCGTGGAATGCTCTTGACCGCGCTTGATAGCGTGTTTTTGCGTTTTCATGTAGACGGAGACCGAGCATGTGTGGACGGGATTTTTTTTTAAAAACGCTGTAGGAAAAACTCCGGTTATAAAAATACCCGTGTCCGTGTGGACAAGGCCTTACTCACCCTGAAGTCATCCTAGGAGTATATGACAATCTTCTTTCAGACAAATACAATCAGAGTTATATAAAAAATGTCCTTGGTCTTCCAAGGTTGATAATGGCAGTGAATGGCTGGATGATTTTGCAAGTCCATTAAAGCGCATCTATTCATTATTAAAGTGCTCCATGCATCTCAGGGGGTTAAGAAAGGTCTTCTGAAGTGAAGCGATGCGTTCGTATAAGAAAAATATCCATATTTAAAACTTTATCGACTAAAATAACTAGCTTCCGGCAGACGGCCGTACACCAAAAGAGTAACACTTGAACTTGATGCATAATGTAATGATGAACGCGGTTTGAACCGAGAGAGGCGTCAATTGCAGTCATTACGTTGTGCGTCAAGTTCAAGTGTTACTCTTTTGGTATAAAGGTTATGATACACAGGGCAACTTTTTGAGCAATGTTGTTGGGCAATCTTGCCGAGCGATTGTTGCTTAGGCACTTTCCCAATGAAAACGGGCAATACATTTCTATCTGGATAATTTAGACCGGTCGTGGGCCCTGTGTCTCATCTGGTTTCCTGTCGACTGCAACATTGCCCAGCAACATTGCTCAAAAAGTTGCCCTGTGTATCATCACCTTTACGCCAAAAGAGTAACACTTGAACTTGACGCACAACGTAATGACTGCAGTTGACGCCTCTTGAACCGCGTTCATCATTACATTGTGCGTCAAGTTCAAGTGTTACTCTTTTGGCGTAAGTCGATGTGTACGGCCGTCTGGCGGAAGCTAGTTATTTTACTAGTTCTAGCCATAGACAGTAAAAGAAATGGACACAGCGACCCCATAGACTTCAACGGAGAAAAGTGAAGTCAATTAGAAGCACTCACTTCCTGATAGCCAAGCGAACTGCGCATGCTCACACTGAGCTTGACGACGCAGATGTGACGTGAGCAACCTGTACGTCTTCTAGTAGCAGCGCCAAGAGGAATCTGAATCATTCCCTTCCGAATCTTGCAGAGCCGGAGAGCGTGAGTAGAGCTGTCCATGAGCAGCAGGAGCAACTTCATCACTCTCTATGGGCTTCTCCCTCGACTTTATTCCTCCACGTCCCCCCGATTGCGAAAAATTGAGTCTTTAAACGCCTCAGATGTAAAGTTATTCGCTGTCAAAGTGACGCCAAAATGAATGGGAGTCGATGGAATGCTAACAGCAGGTGAAGGCTTGCTAGCCGATGGCGGCCCCCGGGTAGACTTCAGTTTCCGGCTGATGGATTACCCCCTTGGTTCTAGCTCCTTTGTTGTCCAGCCCGTGACGTAGACACTGATCATCATGAAGAATCATTCTCTAAATGCACTGCGAGGAGGAATGAGAGGAAGCTGAGAGAAAACACAGCAGGATCCTATGCAGAAGATGATGCACACAAGTCTTCACTCTCTCTTCACATCTGGCACCACCTAACTCCTAAATCATGATTTAGCTTTGCAGTTTAAACAAACAGTACATCATGCTTAAAAAATGTCTTGGCAAAATAATCATACTGTATCTGCATATAATCATGTCCACAAACATTTTGTATTTACAATGTCTAAATGTTTATTTCTTCATTCAACAGAGTTATCATTGGTATTAAATAGCAAAATTATCCAAACAAACAAGTAAATGAGCTATCGACGGATGTAATGAGAACAGCCGCACAGGGAACCCAACCAATTCCAGCTTTCTGTCGAGACATTCCTTCATGTTAGACATAAGAAACGTTCATCTGTGTCACTCACGATAAACTGAATATTTCATCTTCTCATAGTTTGTGAGCAGCTCAAAGCCATACTGCCCAATCAGGACAAGTGTTCAATAAAAAAATGACCCTTCTTTGGTTTTTAGGCCTACTGGTTAATGTGCCACGATCACTTATTTGACTTTTTTGGCATTAATATTTAAACAGAAACAAAAATCAAACTAGAGATGCATCGAAATCATACTGAAACTGAAATTAAAGTTTTGAAATCAAAATTCAAATTTGTCTATTAGTCAATTAATTAATCAATCAAATGTATTTAACAATTAACACTCACATATAAACTGAGTTGTATATAAACATTTAAATTGCAGTTTGTCATGGCAGTTTTATATAAACGTTTTATTGATATAATTAATGTTTATAGCCAACTCCAATTCGTTGTTAAAATATAAACATTTAAATGGTGGCTGTAATGAAAATATATCAGGTTAAGTAAAAATATAAAGAATATAAAATATAAAGAAGAATTTGTAATATAGTGAATATATTTATCAAATTGGTCCTCTAGAATTATTTTTAATTCTATATAAATTAATAATTAATTAATTTATTCTTTATTTTACTAGGTGACTATCGATTTTATGGTCATGGAATGGCTTTTCTGAGGTAAATGTGACTTTCCGTGACATAATGTTTACCAGCTGTTTTATTGTTGTCTTTCTGCGGTTGAAACACTGACTGAGTGATCATATGATTAAAGTTGGACTGTATCTTTCAACACTCCTTTATTCATATTTATTTGGTGCTGTAACTAGTAGTAAAGAGGCAGAGATGATCGGCACTACAGCGATCTGTCACGCCACATTTAAGAGCACCAAAACCAAATTTATTGTTTGAATTTCATGATAAATTTGACAGAATTTGAAAGATCAGACTTTGTTTCATATCACAAGTAACATAGCACAAAGCGTACTGTGATAATTGGATGGGAGACACTGGACAATTTTGTTCAAGGATCAACTGAAAACAGCACAGTGTTCTCACAGCTGACATGTTTAAAATTAATTTTCATCTAAATATTTTAGGTTGCCTAAATGTCAGTGCATCACTACAATCTACACATTTAAAGTACATGAAAGGGTTTCCTGTCAAAGTTGTATGTTATCAGTTTTCTTCCAACTGCTAGTATATTCGAATCCACTTTATATAACTCCCGAGACTGATATCTCTGTGTTTACAGTGTTAATAATCCTAAACATTTACAAAAAAAAAAAACAGTTACACAATAAAATGGACACGGAGATACTGTATATTACAAAGATAAATAAACTCTGATCTGAATGAGGCTGGAATACTGAATGCATCAGTTTGACTTAGTGAAGTTCAGTCTGACACTAGCTGCAGATCTGAGGTCAGTGTTGATCTGAGCCGGTGATGCTGATGTTAAATCATGAGGTGAGTCTGAATCGACCAATGAGGCTGCTGGATTCATTGCACATGACCTATCTGATTTGCCTCGGTCTGTCTTTGTCCCTGGCATATGTGGCACAGCTGGAGCAGCAGAAACTGGAGTAATACTGGCTGGAGCACAGTCGCGCGTACACTATCAGCTTACAGTTCGCCAACTCAGGCTGATCCACACAGTCCGCTGGCAAGCCCTGACTTCCTACAGAGAGAGAGTGAGACACAAAATTTTACAAATTAAAATGAATTCACAAGTATAGCTGATCATGTCCGTATAGCAACTGTTTATTATGGCTACTCTTCAAATGTGGAAAACTTGCAGAGCCGCTTTTCTTTAGCCGCGTTTCCATTGCCCTTCAAATTGCGAAATTGAATTTGAAAATTGAAAATACGCCCAATGGAAACACGTCGGCTACACAAACACTCCCATGTATCGCAAAAAAAGTGTTTACGCTCGAATAAAGTGGTTTTTCAGGCAGTTCGAAAACGAAATATTTTGCAAAACTGCAATGGAAACAGTTTTTGGGCATTTACAGTCACCTGACGTACGTAAAAGTCGATCACTCTTTAAAGAAGGTGCGGTGCGTTTGGACAGAAGACGAGACACAGTTCTTTATTAAACTCATAAAAGACAAAAGATTTATGGGAATACTGGACTCTAAACCACGAAGAAATGCCACAATTTATCAAGAGCTTGAAGCAGAAATGAGGGAGAAACACCCAGAAACACTCATATGTGTGATCACAGTATAAGGGGCTTTCCTTGCCATTAAAGCTTGGATACACGCATACGTCTCTTTCCAATAATAATAATGGCTAATGCGGTGGCTGAGATATACGTAAACCTACCAACGTCCGTTGCCATAATTTTTGGAAGAGGAAAAAATGACGTTTAGTCGCATAACATCGGTTAATGGAAATGGCGTCATTTCGCAGTAGATTTTTTATCGACATTTAGAAAATATCGCAAAAGTATTGCGCAAATCTGTAATGGAAACGCTCTCGTTCTCCTCACTTCACAGACCTTGTTGAGGGGATTTGGCCAGTCGTACTTCAGCCGCTGCACTGACGGAGTACGTCCCAGAGTAAGCATTGCAGGTGTACGTCCCCTCATCCACTGACTGGACATTATTAAGTATGAGCGTCCCGTCTGCCGACACGTGCACACGAAGCCCGTCGGGTCGCACTGGCACACCGTTCCTGTCCAGAGAGATGAGGCGCTGTCATGTTAGATGTACAATGTGCTTTATTCACACTGATATACAAACCGTGTTCTCTGAACTGACCGTGACCAGCCAACCTTCACATTTTCTCCTGTTACTCCACAGGGCAGTTGAGCAGTGCGGCCCTGCGGCACATCGGTGTCTGTGGGGGCTTTGGTGATCCTGAGGTCCCCTAAAGAAACAAGACAACATTACAAGCATACAGAGACCGGACATTGTGAGTATGTTGATGTGCTGCATCATTAATCAAAATAGTACCAAATAGGGCTGTCACTTTACGTTTGAAAATCGATTGGACCAACCAACACATGTTTTGTTTTTTTTTAACCAAAAATGTGTTTTAGGTGGACAGATCAATACAGTACACAGAACATGTGGGATGCTGGAAAATAACGTCTTTTCTGTTCACCAAATGCTTTTTAATATTCGCTATTACTTCAGTGCAAGTGAACAAGCGCGCCGTTATGTGTTGCGTAGTGACGTGTGTGTGTGTGTGTGTGTGTTCAAGTAAGCCAGAAATGCGCAGATTCTGCACAATACGCTGTATTTAATATATCATGAGGATCACGAGTTGCGTATTTGCGCTAAATCCGCGCAGATTTGTCTTACACAAACTTCCCCAGCAAAGTGAGTAAACACAGAAACACGCCAGATTGGCTCGTGATTTGACAGCGTTTCCCGCCACAGTTCATTTTTACCCGCATTTGGCGGATCGGAGGGTGTTAATCTCAATCCCTGAATGTTGCGCTCCTGTTTGTCATTGTGCTGAAACTTCACGCCAATAAATCATCAGGAATATTGCAGACCTGTGCGTCTCAAGCGCCCTCTTTACGCTCGTCCTAATGCCTGTTAGGTGTCCGTGGATTTGCCTGTATTTGGTGTTGAAAATGGAAACGTCTTTAGATGGAAAATCGATTTTACAATCGATTCAATGAACACTAATGTCTCAAAAATCGTATTAGATATGTAAATACGCATTGATATGTATTACTGCGTTTATAAAATCGAAGACGTTGCGATCTATTTGAATAAATATATGCGCTGCATGTTTCAGAGTAAAGCGCAGCACTGCATTTACACACAAGCAGCTCATGATCCGCCAATGTTTTCAGCGTCTCGTTTCACAGGAAATGCTTTTGAGTCACAGTTTCACAGTTCGAGTCGATTTAATGTGCATTTGGGAACAAAACATGCACCAAACATTACATACTGGTAATGAGAAGCGCTTATCAACAAAAGAGAAGGCTTAAGAGCTCCTGCGTTTTCCCTCAAAATAAAAGTTTAATGGTTTAATGTTTCAAAACTAAGAAATTAAGATAATAATAATAATAACAAAATAATAACAATTTCAACAATATAATAATAACAAAAATATTTTTTTAATGATAATAATTATTATTATTTTACAGCCAAGTTGACATAAAATCAAACAATTTTGGCCCAGCAAACAATCCCAACAAACCTTTTTTAAAATAATATTTTAAATCAAAATTGCAATTAGATTTTCCTCAAAAACATGCAGCACTAATATGGTACTTATTATTCAAATACACAAAACTAGAGAATATAAAACACACCAAAAACCGTGAGCTGGATTTGACGTTCTTCAAACTTCTGGCTGTCCGTGACTGTGCAGGTATAAACCCCCGAATCATCTGACGTCAGCTGGTTAATCATTAACGTGCCGTCAGAGTGTTGAGAATGCCTGTATTAGGAGACAACATTCAACGTCTCATTAGATCTCACAGAATAATAACTGATCACAGAGAAGGAAATCCCAGAATGCACTGCAGTGAAAAAAGTTGATAATGCATTTCCTTGAATAACACATATTATTAGGGTAATTATCTTTAACAAAAACTAAACCCATAGAAACATTTTTATTAACATTAACTGAAATAAAATCCAAAATAAAACGTAAACTTACTTTATTTTAGCTAGATGCTAAGGCAACCTTTCTCATTTTCGTCTAAAGTTGATAATTAAATAATTAAAACTAAGTTAACTAAAACTAAATTAAAACTATAGTTTGAATAATTTTTTATAAAAATGACAAAACACAACAGAATTACTAAAAATGTTACTTAAATTGAAAAGAAAACAGAAAGTATAAATTCAATTCATTAATTCAATAAATTAAATTAATCAATTAACTAATTAAAGGTATTAAAAAAAACTCTAATAGTATATTAATGGCATTGATTAAAATTAAAATTATTGCAGTGTTGTTTTATTTTTTTAATTAAAAAAAATATATATGTGGGTGTTCTTTGTAGTTAGGCTAATTAATATAAAAACAGCGGAATTTATTACAGGTGAAACTCGAAAGATTTGAATATTGTGCAGAAGTTCATTTATTTCAGTGATTCAACTTAAAAAGTGAAACTAATATATTATATAGACTCATTACATGCAAAGTGAGATATTTCAAGCCTTTATTTGTTATAATTTTGATGATTATGGATTACAGCTATGAAAAACTTTTCACAATATTCTAATTTTTAATTTGGGGTTTTCATAAGCTGTAAGCCATAATCATCAAAATTATAACAAATAAAGGCTTGAAATAGCTCACTTTGAAGGAAATGATTAGTGATTAGAAATATTAGTTTCACTTTTTAAGTTGAATCACTGAAATAAATGAACTTCTGCACGATATTCAAATTTTTCGAGTTTCACCTGTAGAGTCGATTATGAACTGAGTCTCTTGTGCACTTTGCTATTTGTATGACACAGAGAGCAGCTGCATGATTTTAGCCATAGACTGTAAAAAAAGATGGACGACGCCCCTTCGCCCTCTTCCATTTCTATGAGCATCTCCGCAAACTAATAGAAAATAACAAAAATAATCCAAGGTTTTTATTTAACACCGTGGCTATACTAACAAATAAACAGACATCGCCAGAGCAAAATATCCCGTTACAGTATAGTTGTAATGATTTTATGAATTACTTCAATGAGAAAATAGAAAGCATCCGAAATACAATTGTAAATGTACAATCCTCTATGGTGTCTTATGATTCAGCCTCAATTATCGCCCCTCAAGAACAACTACACCGCTTTACAACTGTAGGACAGGAAGAGCTAAATAAACTTATCATTGCATCTAAACCAACAACATGTTTATTAGATCCAATACCCACTAAACTTCTGAAAGAAGTGTTACCTGTAGTGGAAGAGCCTCTTCTTAATATTATTAACTCGTCTTTATTCTTAGGTCATGTTCCAAAAATATTCAAGCTGGCAGTTATAAAACCTCTTATTAAGAAACCGCAATTAGATCAAAATAACTTAGCAAATTACAGACCCATTTCAAATCTTCCATTTATGTCTAAAATACTAGAAAAAATTGTGTCCGCTCAATTGTGCTCTTTCATGCAAGAAAATGAGATATATGAAAAATTTCAGTCAGGATTCAGACCGCATCATAGCACAGAAACTGCGCTAGTTAAAATTACAAATGATTTACTTTTAGCTTCTGACCAAGGCTGTATCTCAATACTAGTTCTACTCGATCTTAGCGCTGCGTTCGACACTATAGATCACAAAATACTCTTGGATCGACTACAAAACTACACTGGTGTTCAGGGACAGGCATTAAGCTGGTTCAGATCGTACTTATCAGACCATTACCATTTTGTCTGTTTAAATGGGGAAAAATCGAAGATAACGTCAGTAGACTATGGAGTGCCGCAAGGATCGGTGTTAGGCCCTCTGCTATTCTCAATATATATGCTGCCACTTGGTAATATTATAAGAAAACATGGAATTAATTTCCACTGCTATGCTGATGACACTCAATTATATATTTCATCACGACCAGATGAAAACACTAACTCTAAATCTAAATTGACAGAATGTCTTAAAGATATAAAATGCTGGATGACATGTAATTTCCTGCTATTAAATCCAGATAAAACGGAGGTATTACTTGTTGGTCCAAAAAACTACCCACAAAATCTCTTACAATACAACTTTAATTTAGAAGGATGCCCTGTTACTTTTTCCACTACAGTAAAAGACCTGGGTGTTATACTAGACCGCAACTTGTCTTTCGAAAATCATATTTCATATGTTACAAGAACTGCCTTTTTCCACCTTAGAAACATTGCTAAATTACGTAACATGCTATCTGTTTCTGATGCAGAAAAGTTAGTTCATGCATTCATGACCTCGAGACTAGATTACTGTAATGCTTTATTAGCCGGTTGTCCTGCATCCTCAATAAACAAGCTACAGTTAGTGCAAAATGCAGCTGCTAGAGTTCTTACTAGGTCAAGAAAATATGATCATATAACACCGATTTTATCATCTCTACACTGGTTACCTATTAAGTTCCGTATCAATTACAAAGTACTACTACTGACCTATAAAGCCCTAAATGGTTTAGCTCCTGTGTATTTAATGGACCTTCTATCACCCTACAATCCATCGCGTTCTTTAAGATCACTAAATTCGAGGCTTCTGGTCATTCCTAGGATATCTAAGTCCACTAAAGGAGGGAGGGCGTTCTCACATTTAGCTCCTAAACTCTGGAATAGCCTTCCTGATATTTGTTCGAGGCTCAGACTCGCTGTCCCAGTTTAAAACTAGATTAAAGACGCATCTCTTCAGCCAAGCATTCACATAATGCTTACCTTTTATACCACTGTTGAATCAGATCGAATGCATTAATATTATGAACAGCAGCTACGCTAATTATTTCCCATCTGCTTTTCTGCTGTTATCTCGGGACGCTAGTCCCGAGGTAAATAGCGTTCGTCAGCTCCAGTTTGTATCCAGCCTCTCACGGAGACTTCAGACGCTCCAACACCTGCGATGAGACGACTCGACGCCTGTGAAGAGACGACTCGACGCCGGCGATATGTTATGCCCTAAATTAATACATGATGATTAACTAACTATATTCTTCTATGTACATTTCTGAAATGCACTTTCTGTAAAGCTGCTTTGAAACAATATGTATTGTGAAAAGCGCTATACAAATAAATTTGAAATGAATTGAATTGAATTCCATTGGTGTGAACTGGAGCCGCCAGTGTCCCGATACGGCGCTGACATCTTGGACTTGAGTCTGCGCAGAAGCGATCTCGGGACCAGACCAGCGCAGTCGTGAGCAGGAAGTAAAGCCGTGAAATCAAGGCCCCGCCCTCACCCTCGCAGAATCAATCCCAAGCACACGCCCTGCACTTTTTTTAAATTATAGAAATTTAGATATTAAATTTAAAGCTCCAATCTCCTTAGTCCTCCGAAGATCCCGAAAAAAAGTCTGTTGGTGCTTCAGTGACTACTTCGCTCAGAGAACCTGTCAATCATGACGTCACACCACCGCATCTAAAAACAAACTTATTTTAAAAACAAACACTTGAAATTACATTAGCGTGATAAAAACTACAGTAAATGACAGAAACCATATTTGGAAAAACGATATTTGAAGTGTAATTTAATTGTTTAGTTGGTCTCACGTGCCGTTGAATAACATGAGGAGGCGGGGCTTATGAGCTATACTAGGACCGGCCACCGGGCGGCGATCGAGACGTTTTGGCTTCACTTTTCAGGGCTTGTGCGGCACGCTTGATTTTAGCATTCCAACTCATTCACTTATAAGGTTCCATAAGGAGGGCAGGATGCTGCTTCAGAAGGGTTTTGTTATGAGGTTGAGGACAGATGAACCCAATCGCAGACAGTATGCACTTAACATGGATTTATTTAGACCAGGGGTGGGGAACGTTGATCCTGGAGGGCCATTGTCCTGCAGAGTTTAGCTCCAACCCTAATTAAACACACCTGAAGATAATCAAGATCTTCAGGATTGCTAAAGTTACAGGCAGGTGAGTGTTTTTTTTCAGGGTTGGAGCTAAACTCTGCAGGACAGTGGCCCTCCAGGATCAACGTTCCCCACCCCTGATTTAGACAAAACAAGGAAAACAAAACCCACAATGGGGCAAAACAGAGACAATCCAAACGAGAGATAACTAAACTAGAAAACACTTGACAAGACTATTAACTAACAGCAAATACAAGATCAAGACGTTCTTCTTAAACAAGGTGAATCACTCAATGAGAAACAATGAACCGGTACAGGACAGCAAACACAAGGGGATTAAATAGGGGAACACTAATGACGAGGACAGGTGAAGCCGACTAGACAATAATGACAAGACAAGGATAACAAGGGGGCGGGGTTACGTAACGAGACAACACAAGCACATGGCCGAACACTTAGCCATGTGCTTGCACATTAAACATGCTTCTGTCATGATCCTGCCTCACGACTAGGGAAAATCAAGGGCAAGAGGGCAGAATCATGACAGGTTTGAACAGAACTGAAGATGAAGATACCTGAGTGAGTTGAGTGGCTGTCCAGCTCTGCTCCAGTGAACGGTGACCGCATGCATGGCAGACACCGGGAGCACTGCACACTGCAGTTTGGCAGTCTGACCTGCTCGAGCCTCAACTAGGGGCGAATGGTCAATGTTGAACCTGAAAAAAAAAAACAAGGGCCATGATGAGCAATGCAAGTATGATTGGGAATATGTGCTGCATAATTGCACCAACAGTGTGTAATTTAATGATTGATGTCTTGTACCTGGAAGATGAATGTGATGTGAATGATTGTGAAGAATCCACCTCTGATATTCCTGCACCATTCTGGGATGTTCCTGTATTTGGTAGTGAAAGAAAATATTCCTTGTGTAAGAAAAAAAAATTCTATTGTGTTGTTGTATTGTGAGTGGTTGCCAGGTGGGTCTCACTGACACAAGTCAAAAGATATATTATCTTTTATATAATCAGACACCAGGTAAAATGTTATCCAGTCAGAAAAAAAGCTAAGAAAAAGTAATAGCACTCTCACCATTAGTGTTTAATAGTTCAAGGGTTCTGGGGTACTTCGGGACAAAAATGTCCCGAAGCGTTTTTAAAAAAAATGTTAAAAATTGTAGCTTCATCGGAATGGTCCGAAACTTGGTGACTTTTTTTGGTACTTGGTATATGAACACCCAAAAAAAATTGGGGACAGGATTTGAAAAGTCTAAGTGGTCGTAAAAAAAATAGTCACACTCAGGACCTTCGGGTCAAAAATGACCCCCATAGGAAATGAATGGGAAATTGGCAAAAATGTGAAAATACAGTTGTTTTGTGCATACAATCTACAAAACAGCCAGGATGCAGAAAAAAAGCACACAACAGTGAAGGGGTGAATCTCTTAAAACAATGGGTGACAATTTTTTTTCCTTTTGTTCTCTTTATAATGCAATGTTCAGGTTTGACTGTATTATAAAGTAAAACTGCCACTTCAAATTACCATTTAAACCAAGCAAAAAAAAAAAAAAAAAAAATTTTATTTAAAAAAATTACAAAAATAGTCTTTGAGAATCTGTTATTATATATTCAAATCAACAACCTGAAAAAAATTAAACAATATGTGAAAAAATCACTAGAGTGTTTCTACCATAGGTTTCTACAGAGAGCTGTAAATCCACTAGTGGTAAAAATGTGCTATTGCGTGATAAAAATGCTCAGTGTGTCCACCAGATGGCTCCGATCTCATTTAAAAAATTGCTTTCATGAGGTCTAGACTTGACTCTAAAATGAAATACAGCTTTAATAAAAATTTTTTTTATTATATATATATATAAATTTTCTATTACATTCAATGGGAAAAAAATGGGTCTTAATTATTGCATAAATATTAATTATAAATCATAAAATTATCTCAAAACACCAAACTAGAAAAGAAAAAATATTATTGAACAAAAATATATTTCATTGATTTTACTCAAATAAAATGTATCTTAATGCCGCCCTCCGGGTCATTTTTGACCCGAAGGTCCTGAGTGTGAGTCTAAAATGAAGTACCCCAGAGGGTTAAATCATTAACCCTGCGATTAATAGTCATAGTGACGCTTGCAAGCATCAAATGAAGTATAGATGATTAGTAAGTAAATACACAGATAGGATAGAGCTAACCTGAGACAGACAGGTAAATGTAGCGGTGATCTCTCTCGCGGTCTTTTGTGGCCACACACAGAAACCATCCAGAGTCCTGCAATGTGATGGGACCCACCAACAGAGAGCCATCGGACTGCTGCTGATGCCTGAATGATCACGCACAGTTTTAATCAAGCTACTACAGGTTTGTGTGAAGTTGAGCTACAGTCTTCAATCCGAATGAATCCAATCTGAAAGTTTTGTTTACATAAACATTGTAATCCTACTCTCATATTCGATGTGCATAACATGTTGTCTTTCAAGGGAACTCACGCTGAGTCTGAATTTTCGAAACTATGGGAACACCTCTACATGATTGCGTCTTGAAGCACGTGTCCAATGGCGTGAAGGAACGTCATAGGCCGGTGACGTCATGACCAGGAAGCTATAAAGAACACCCAGACCAAACAAAGTCAGCTTCTGTGCCTTCAGCAAGCGCTCTGTGTGAAACTGTCCAAAGAGCACTAAATATATTAAAAATGGCGAGCAAACAGTCAGTGTTCCTCCCTGACCTCACTACATGAGCACCTTCATAGAGGTCTACAAGGAGCATCCGACCCGGGACCCGTTCAACTTTGCAACTTGTAAAATTAGGATAAGAAAAGTGTGAGCCGAGAAATAAGGTAAAAAAACAACAACACAAATTGCGTTAAAAATCTCTTCAGGTCTCTCCAGGCTGCTAACCCGACCGTGTAGTCTCAAGCGCGTCATGTCATGTTTCTATGGCAACCAGAGCTTCTGCAGTGACACAATGACTTTACCAATTGACGATTGGCTCTTTTACTTAAAAGGCGGGACTTATTCCGCCAAGCCGTGCTTTACACTTTCTCCCATTTTTATAATAATATGAATGAACCGTCTTGTTTAATCTTAAAGTTTTGGTGGTCAGATTCGGCGCAGAGAGCACAGAGATGATAGCAAATAAACAATGCTGATAACGTCAGCGGCCATGGCACGGAACGAGAAATCATTATTATAGTTCAAAACGTTTTTATGCGAGTTAAACTCGAGTTGAAATGCAAATCTGCAAAGTCTTTTGAAGCTGAAATAATGAGTGGATTAAGCATCCTTGGAATAACGAGAGAGGAATAACATGGATAGAACTTTCTTGATGGAGGATTGTAATGCATCACAGTCAGGTACGAGGAAGGGAGACGACGGCTACTAAAATTAGGTAAGACGAAAAGTTTTATTTTTCGCAACTGGTTTATTGACTTGTTAATAGCAATTTAGTGTGGAATATGTGACAATCGGGTCCAGTCGGGTCTGTGTCTTCCCGCCGGGTTCGGGTCCAGGTTTCAAATAATAGACGGGTCGGTAACGCTTACATGTACTTACAGTGTACTTATAAGGTAAGTACATGGGTTAGGGGTAGGTTCAGGGTTAGTACCTAGTTATTACCCAGTAATTGTAATTACTATAATAAGTACATAGTATGTACATGGGTAACAGGACTGTAAAAGGGAGCGTTACCGACGGGTCCAGGTCAGTTCCGGGTAGTACATTTATGGCATTTCTCGGATCTGCAAGGGTCCAGGTCCAGCTTTTGAAATAATAGATGGGTCCGGGTCGGTTCCGGGTAGTACATTTATGGCATTTCTCGGATCTGCAAGGGTCCGGGTCCAGCTTTTGAAATAATAGATGGGTCCGGGTCGGTTCCGGGTAGTACATTTATGGCATTTCTCGGATCTGCAAGGGTCCAGGTCCAGCTTTTGAAATAATAGATGGGTCCGGGTCGGTTCCGGGTAGTACATTTATGGCATTTCTCGGATCTGCAAGGGTCCAGGTCCAGCTTTTAAAATAATAGATGGGTCCGGGTCGGTTCCGGGTAGTACATTTATGGCATTTCTCAGATCTGCAAGGGTCCAGGTCCAGCTTTTGAAATAATAGATGGGTCCGGGTCGGTTCCGGGTAGTACATTTATGGCATTTCTCGGATCTGCAAGGGTCCGGGTTCAGCTTTTGAAATGATAGATGGGTCCGGGTCGGTTCCATGTAGGACATTACGGGTCTCTTCGGGTTTAGGTACGAATTTTTGGACCCGTGTAGACCTCTAATCAGCAGGGATACACACGATTGATGTGTAGTTTGTTTGGGAATGGCGCATGCACAGTTAGCTCTCGAGGGGGCTCCCGCTTCTGCTGAGGCACAGCGGCGTTGAGATCGTGGGGTTCGCTGATGGACCTCGTGGAGGGGTTAGAGACGGACTCTGCCTTTTCTCTGCCTCCACCCGTGGGGTCCAGCAGTCTCTCTCTGGGTTTGGAAGCAGATCTGCGGTTTCTGCCACCCAGAGTGAGGGCCCTGTGCTTCAGCTATCTTCCTCCTCCGAGGTTGATGTGCTGAGCATCGAGGCAGGAGATTTCGAGGACTCGTCACCTCAATCTCCTGTTTATGAGGAGTTGGTAGAGGTTGTCACTCGTGCCGTGGCCAGACTCAGCATTGGTTGGCCGGCCAGTCTAGGTAAACATGTGATTTCACATGTGCCTCAAGACGCAATCACGCAGAGGCGTTCCCATAGCGCCGTAAACTTCCAACACAGCGTCTCGTTCCCTTTTCAGGGAACCATGATCACAAGTCGTAACCTAAAACATTTTCAAACAAAACCTCAGCGCATACGCAGGGCTCATTTGTCCTGAAAGTTACCTCGATAATATTAGTATCTCAGCGGTACTTAAAGTAAATATCTTAAATCAAACGGGTTCGGCTGACAAAAAAATTGGGGAATCCAAGTTTGGGAAGCAATGGCATTACACGGCCAAGGTCTTCCAGGTTTTAAATATTTTTTGTCCAGATTTTCAGAAACAATAGTGAAGGTCACTGGATATGATGAAGACTATATGAAGCTATATATCAAAATATAATAATGTAATCAATAAAAATGTACCTGTAATCTGATTGAGCATTTTAAAACTTAATATAATCTGGTTACAATTACTTAATTTTTGGGACCTGGTTATGTAATGATTATGATTATCCAGATTACATGTAATTAATTACTACCCAGCACTGTATATGACATATGCAAAAGCAGAAATGATCTTAAATGATTGCACAATACTGTCATGTTTAACAGGTTATTTAATTTTTTTATAGTGATAAAGTGTTTATGAGCTGCTTAAATATCAAATGATGCAGGTACTCACCTGGCGAGGTCAACTAGGACACCGTCGCGTCTCCACTCGACAACCACAGTGGAGGAGGGCCGAGGGGTCACCCTGCAGGGCAATACTACCTGCTGACCAACCAGCCCCTCCACCGTGGAGGGATCCGTCTTGTCTATACTCACACCAACAGCTGTCCAACTGAAGCACATGAGTACAGAGAGCAAGAGGAAATAGACACAGGTACAGAAACAGAGAATGGAGGGACCAGAGACAGAAGGGATGGGGGTAGAGACAGACAGACATGCAGAAAGAAAGAAAGAAAGAAAGAAAGAAAGAAAGAAAGAAAGAAAGAAAGAAAGAAAGAAAGAAAGAAAGAAAGAAAGAAAGAAAGAAAGAGAACATATGACTTTATGCTGTACTATTTGGGAGCAGCAAAGCATTTGTTGCAGTCACCACAGCAAGCATAAAGATCAGCCTTGACCGGGCTACAGCTGGAATACAGGATCCCAAAAGAACAACACCAGCCCAACATGCTGACAATTCAATCAAACGAGACCACAGGAAGAGGCTGGAGAACTCAAACAGTACCAACCTATACAGATGGAAAGGATCAAAACCTAAAAGTTCACACAGATCTGCGAAAACTAGTAAAAACGCTGTATTCTGCTGCCAGGCCAGTAGTTGGCAATGTCACTTTGTAAAGAAACACTAAGTGCCTATAGACTGAACACATAATACATGCATGAAGTCACTGTTTTCAAAAATTCACTTTTTTGTAGTTAACATGGAGACAATAATGGTATAATTTTCAAAATCTTGCACTTTGAAACCCGTTTCAAAAGTTTGCGTTTTCAAGCCCCCAAAACACCATTGTTATGTAAATGAATGGCAAAAATTCATAAAAAGTTTTCAGTTTTTAGTTGAAAACAGTGTAGTGTAAATGGCCCCTAAATCTTTTGTCCTTACTCTAAAAAAAAAGAGGAAAACATTTCAGTTACGCAGAGAGAGCGACAGCAAAATTATTTTTTTGTGGCTAAACAGTTCAATATTGCATTTTTGTGCCTTGTTTCATTTACGCTTCTTAGTGATATACAAAAAAACACATAACAATACAAACAGACGAGAAAATTAAAGTTTTAAAAGTCTAATTCACCACTACTTCACCAACAGCCTTTGTGAAATCAATGGTGTTGCCTTGCGGAAGTGCTCTTCAGCGATGTAAACATAATGACTAGAATTACTTGTAACATGGAAGAAATTGACTTTGTTACTTGATGCTTTATTATATTTAGGACTTGGTGTTGGAGTTAGCATTAGGATGGGGAAATAAATCAAACGCAGTCAACAGTTCAACATGTATTGTTGGCCCTGGAACATCAAGAGGAAATTATTTGGTTGATGAGCAAGTTGATCAGGCCCAAAATCACCCCAAAATCTGATTGGTTGATTGGAATTTTGTTCCAGGACCAACAAGGGTGTTGATCCATGAACACTTGGCGAAATCACAGCAAGCATAAAGGCCCCGATATACTTCAAGCAAAATCAAAGAACGAACTTACATGATGTCATTTCGAACAAAATCAGGCCAAAATTAAGTTCATTTTGAGTTTGTTTCAGGAGTTCAAAACACCTTGCCAATGGGAACTTTCTGGAAAAGTTCGCTCTGGCTGGTAAACACGTAATAGGTGGATGAACTTCTCCAGTTCATTTCTTCTGTTCAGTTCATCAAGGTCAGATGCAAGTAAAAGCATGAGCACACTGGAGAGCTGTTTTATAGTAGAAACGTAAGTTGTAATACTAATTTAAAACAACACTAATTTTTCATGTTTAATACTGTAAAGCTGCAGTCTATTGAATAAAGTGCCCTGTAATAAACGTGATGTGACTTTACTGGAGAGCTGAATAGCAGAGCTGGTGCAAACAAATCCACATCGCTATGATCAGACGCTATGATAAACTGCTGTTTTCTCACCAATGTCATTTTTGTTTATGTTTATTTTGTTATTTTGAGAGGTATTTCAAGCTTATTTTTACCCCATAAGCAAAGAACCAAAAAGAACTGCACCGTGAGTATATCAGGGCCTTAAAGGTGAGGTGTTCTACTCTACAACATTCATTTACAGTCTACTCGTATCAACATTCAGCTAATTTGTAAGGACAGGATTTGGGAGAGACACAGAGAGATAGTCGAGGATGACTGGGACCCCACAGCTGATTTTATTAGTCACACTGTAATGAAATCATGTACCACACACAGACCTGGGGATGGGAAGGGGAGGTAAATTAAAAGTAACTAAACAAAACTAAAAGCAACAGAGAAAAGAGGTTAACAGTCTGCGTCAGGGCAAATAAACCAGTCCCAAAAGCACAGCATTGCCCAACACATCACAGTGAGGGCTGTCAACTTCTATAGGGAGAGAGTGTATGTTGAGGCAGTAGATTAGTATGATTAAAAAGCGTGAGGCAAGTCATAATACATCAAATGGCATTACACTGCATTAGACAAATGTGTTTTTAGATAATGTTATGAGTGTTTACATAGGGTCCAAAATTAAAAACTTTCTAGTTGGCCAGTTACTTTTTAGGAACTTAACATCACACCTGGTTAAAGTCGAACTTTATGAATGATAGTATAATACTCGCTGATTGCGAGTGATTCCAATCAAAGACACAGATATTAAAGTTTAATTGTCATACATTTATCTAGGATGCTTTAAGTTTTTTTATCTCAGCAACAAAAAAAAAAATCAGCCTTTTTACTGAGAGACCAATCTAGCTTGTAGGTGCGCGTGATACAATTGAGGACAAAAGTCTATTTTTTTATTAAAAATATAGCTTCATGACCATCAAGAATATTTATGATATTCTCACTCACCATTGGCAGATTGAAGTTAATTTTGGATCCTGTGTGTACATATGCTGAACTGCTGTTAGTGAAGCAATGCTCACCAATCACTACCTTTGTGCGTGTAAAAAGCATATGCATTTAACACGCAGGCTATGTAAGTCTCTGTGCATGTCCTGCGGGCTCCTCTCTTGGCTCTTCAGCAGGGCGTGAAGGGCAGACAGCAAAAGAGAACTTGCAGGGGGGCTTGGGATTGGGCCTGGGAGAGGAGTAGAGCGATCCAGGGCAAGTTGGATAATCTTACCTGGCAGCGGGGCTGCTCTGCTGCATGGCACTGGGGGCCAGTCGGTGAGCCCGGTGCCCATGGGCCGCACCGCTAGAACTGAGATTGATACGTGCAGGGAAGCGACGTCCACTGTGCTGCAAGACATGCGCCTGGTCCCGCTGGCTTAGCTCTGATCTCAGGCACATCTTCTGGCATTCCTCCTCCGAGGCGAAGTTGTTGCTGTTGCCATCGCAGCCACCATACCAGAAGTGCTTGCATTGTGAGGCAGAGCGGTCATAGTAGTAACGGGACGCCCACTGATCGCATGGCCCAACCATATGGGGTAGGTCACAAGACAGAGCTGAGGGGCAGAGGGGTAAAAGACATATGCAATATGACAATAATCTGTTCTAAAAAGTTTGATAGGTCAGTAACTTTCCTCAAACACCAGTGTTGAGGTCAAACCAGGTCAATCAAGTAAAAGTCAAGACCAAGACCAGAAGAGTTCCTTGGCTTTGAGTATTTAAATGTCTTGGTCTTGCTCATATTTTCATGGTGTTGGTCTTAGTCCTTTCAGACTTTCCCTTCTTCTGGTCTTGATCTTGACTCAGACTCACTCAACTGAGCTGGTCTTGACTTCAACCATTGGCGTAACTTTGTTTTAAAAGTGGGTGGGACAGGAGTGTGTGTGTGTGTGTGTACATCGAGTTTAATTTATCGACATAGAACTCATGTTTAAAGTTTCATCCTTACATCTATTGTAACCCAATATATTGTTAGTCCCGAGAGCCTTTGAAAATTGAAAAAACACATAGATCCTCATTTAATGTTCGTGTGTCCTAAAAGTCTGGTGGTCGAATTTTTGTTCTAAGGTTCTTGGTTCTAATCCGCCCTTGTATAGTTTTTTCGTAATTAATTAAAGTTTAAAAATGAAAGAGAGATGGTCACTTTTTCTATATTGTGACTTACTATTGGTGGGGGTGTTCAAGCACCCCTCCCCATGAGTACCACCAGCTGCAGTCACACCATCATAGCAGCAACCGTAGGTGGATGTATGGCAGTCTGTGGTTGCAGATGGTATGGTATCTGACTTTGTAGACAAAATACAAGAAACAAAAGAAACAGACAGACAAAGACAGGCCAAGACATTAGGGAATATCTTTCAGAGGGTATGTGTCCAAGTTCAAATTCAAATGTAAACAGCATATCATAAAGTCTGGATAATAAACGTAACCCGGTAACAAAGGTAACTCACAGTTCCACAAAAATGGTTTCGAAACAATAGATCCATAAAGTAGTGCCAATTAACTTTCCCAAAATAATCTTTAATAAAGAAAGAAAGCTCTTAGATCTTAGAAACTCTACACTACGCAATCTAAGAGATTGTAATCTCTCTGGATGAATTGGTGTAATCAACCAATCTAAGAGCAAGGCTGTCAAGTCAACATGACATATTTCCTCAAAATCCCCCAAATAGTGGACAGCCATCGACCTCCAGAATATGTACAAAAAACATGTACCAAGACAAATAATTACAGCCAGGGAGGGCGAGACCTCGAGGAACATAAGTAGGAAGTGAAAAGTCTGATGAAAAACTGAGCTCACTCACAGACTGTTGGACATTGAAAATCAGTAGGCCAATCTTTTCATGAACTTGAAGGGTCAAAAATACTGTGGTGAGAACATATTTGAGACCATCTTAAGTGGTAGTTTTTTGGTTTTGTGCTGATCTGTTTGGCACACAGTCAAGCTGCAGGAGGTCATGTTCCCTTGCTGCACTGCCTCCAAAGTGTTCTCTGGGGGTTTGATCTCAGTAGTTCGGTGGCATATTATTTCGTCTCACTCCAAATGGGGGAAGTGTACAGTTTTGCATTACTCCATTGAATTTACAGTGCAAATCTGGAGAAGGGGTTTCCAATCCTGCTTCTGAAAGGCCACCTCCCTGCAGACTTTACTTCCAACACACCTGCCCTGAAGTGTGTAGTGACTCAGATTCACTGGGCACCCTATTGTCAAGGTCATATGTCCATTGCTCAGGCTCCAACTCTCCCTCCATAGAGTCCAACCCATGAGTCTTGTGTTGAATGTGTGAGATGTTGGGAAACATAGGCATGGATGCACCTTACTATTGTCTGGAGAATGCTGGGATAACAACATCATAAAAATGTGTATATCAGAAACAGGATTGTGTGTCGTTTAGTTAGTATATTTAACAGCATTTGTTATTTTGTGAAATTAGTTTTTTATAAACTTCTAAAGTCTGTTTGTTCACCAGACCTGCTCTGTTTTACTGTTCCTTGATTTTGTCTGATATGCAATGGTGATCGTGCTTTTTCTGTTGCAGCTCCTAGACTGTGAAACTGGTTGCTATTGAAGATTGTGTAATGCTGGTGCTGAGCTGTCTGGACTCGGAGAGGGCTACTCTCTGAGAAAACAATGGACTTTTCTGGAAATTAACATTTTAACTCTCTCTTGCAAAATTAGCATTCTCGGCCGAGACGCAATCACACCTCAGTATTGTCTTATCTGCATTTCTTACCCTTCAATCTCTCTTTTCTCCACATACTGAGATCACCCTGATCAACTGAAACTCACCCAAAAATCTATATGGTTTAATGTGAACAATTACCATAAAGCACTATACATGTTTGGTATCATTTGAAGTGTCTCAGTGCAACTGGTACAATGGTCTTATCCCCATATTAGTAACCCGAATGGTACTCAGGGTTTTAAAAGTTTAGAGCTACTTTGCATACTGAGAACGATGAGCCCTTATCCAAGGTCTCTCATGCAAATTACCTTCTGTACCCAGTACGGTGTAATCTACCCAGGTCTGGGACATTGATAAATGTTAATTAGTTCATTCCCCCATTTGGAGGACGTTTTGTTTTATCTTGGTCTGAGTATTTAAAGAAATGTTGCAAAAGGCTCAGCGCGATTCTGTAGCCAGATCAGCCCGTAATTATGTATTTTTCTGATGTCAAGTATGCATCTTTTACTCTTTGTTTTTGAGCATTTGATGTTTTATATTGATTTTTTTATTTATTGATAATGTAATTTGCATGATACATTTACCTGACCGATAATACATTGTAACATTTGAATTTATTGTGACTTACTCTGACGTTAAGTCAAGAGTTAAATAGAATAATCACATGTCTAATTAAATGGTTATATGCTGTAAGTAAGGGATAATGTACATCCAGCCGGTTGTAATCTCAGAATAAACCCCGACAAGGTGATCAGGACTGTCTTGTCTGGGAATAGCATACCGCTAGATGGTGCGATTAACCAATCAGAATCAAATATTCCACAGAACCGTGTAATAAATGGCCAACAATCAATTAGTGTCCAACCTAAATTTGATCAGATCAAAGTTTAATTGGAATAAAATTACTTTGAAATTTCTTTGAAAAGACAGAATGCACAGACAACTTTCAGCCACACCATTGGAGACCGTCGTTGGGCCAATTGGATGGACCTAACAATTGAATTGAATCTGTTTTTAAAAACCAGTCTTAGGACATTTATTTTCATTAACAATTAAATACGTTTATATTGGGTATGTTGATTTGGCTGGTTGGTTTTAGTTTGGTCTTTTAAGTAATTGTTTCCTTTGCTATATACAGCACTTTGGTTTACCGTGTGGTTTTGAAAGTGCTTTATAAATAAAGTTTGAGTTTGAGTTGATTTCACAACGAGCAGGCAAGTGACTGCACTCTGTGAGAGCCGAATATGTTACCTCTACCATCATCCACCACTGACTATTGAGAACACATAATGCTTACTGTAATGAAAACTGAAGGAGCTTCTTAGTACACTTGCTAAATGGAAACAAAATGGAACAGGCAAAAACTGAACAGGAACATAGCTACTGGAACACTGTTCTGGATCATTCCAGCCGAATTTGATATCAGTGTAAAGGCCAGTTCACACAGGGACGAATTTCACGCGCGATATTCGCCGACGTTTAACGCCTCGTGACTAAACAAAGGGCGCCAATGTGAGTGTGCACACCGACGCGAAAAACGCCACGCGTAAAAGTGTCATTTTTTAAAAAACGCTTCTGGTTTTTTTTTTTTTGGTTTGACGCGCCGCGTTAAAAACTATCCGACCAATGAGATTGGCGCTTTTGCTCACGTGTCTGGAGCTTCTGAAGTTACAGTAAAACACAACTTGGGGGCGCTCAAACACAAAACGGTCTTGCCGAGCACACATACGTAACGGCGAAGAAGATATACGCCAAGTAGCGTCTACACTGCCGGGAAGAAATAAGACGAGGAAGACGCAAGGCAAGATGAATGTAGAGCTGCTGGTCTCGTTGGTGTCGGAACATAATGAACTATATGACAAATGCATAAATACCGTAAATACTTGCTCTCTTCTTCTGAGAGACAAGCAAGTGTCAGAAGCGTAAAGTTGCGCAGCGCCACCTTGTGTACCGGGGTATTTCTGTTTTACATTAAGCGCCATCTAATGTCAGGGAATGAATTTGCATGTTCACTCGGCTCATCGTCAGCGAAAATCGCTTGGGTGTGAACACAAAAAACGCGTTGAAAAACGCTGGCGAATAACGAGCGCCAATATTCGTCCCGGTGTGTACAGCCCATAAGACTGGAAAAACTGGTTGAGGAACGACCACTCTGGAAATTACCATTTTAAGTCACCATTTAAGACAAAAGTCTCACCTAACCTACACTTCTCTCCCATGCGAAGATCACCAAAAACTCACCCAATAATCTAAATGGTTCACAAAGGAATGTGGTCTCTAGCAATACTCACTGCTGGAGACCAGTGTGGCCAGGAATCTGGACAGCCCCCCTTGTTGGGGCCTTGGGCAATGGTCACACCATCATGACAACAGCCGTACCTGAAAGAAGTGTTGATGTGCATTTGCATTACATTTCTGGTAAAACACATAGTTCCAAGATACTAAAGTCACATTATTCCATGTAGGACGATAAGTATTGTATAGTATAGGATTGGGATTATATTGAGAAACAGGCAGATTTTTTTGTTTCAGACATATAAATGTTTCTCAATTAGTGTCTGTAATAAACTCATCCAAGTCCATGTGTACCTGCTCCATGTGCAGGATGCTATGCCTTGGTCCTGGGGACAGCCTTGGCGCTGAGGTCCACTGGCTGGGGTACTTCCATCAGGACAGCAGCCATATTGAGTCTGGCTACAGTGAAGGGTGAGAGTTGTGCCATGAGGATTGTGGACTGGATTGTTTTGATGAGTTTCTGTTGTGTTAGATAATAAAAAATAACAAGGACCTTATTAAATGTTTCCTGCAGACAAAGAGCATACAAACAGAAAGTGTTTGATAAAATGTATGGGTCACTTGCATGTCATCTTTTAAACACCTTATTACAGGATCCTAAACAAATTTGATCAGATTTGTCAATGGACAGAAGAAAAGTTTATACTTTGTAGTAATTGTGATGGTGGGAAAACCTAATGTTCTTGCCCAATTATATGTACTTTTGTGTCAGGGTTCTGGTTCTGTCACTTTGGTCTGGTTAATTCTTGTATGGTGACAGAGCCCTGACACTCCTACTGTCTTGTCATTGTGAGAGTGCGGTTCCAAGTCGGTCTGCATGATAAGTTGTATACGCAGAGCTTGGTGTTCGTATCCCAACACTTTTCAGGTTTATATTTGGCCACGTGCTTTCTTGTCTTGTTCTATGTAAAACGCTGCTTTTGTTTTTCATTAGCCGCATTCTTTTATGTTGTCATGTTTTGTGTGGACACGCAGTCGGTGAGAGCTGTGTGTTCGTGTCATGTTTGGTGTGGGCACATGGCTTGTCAAGTTTGTTTCTATGTGCCATGTGCTCAATCCTGTCTATTGTCTTAATCCCGTCCTTCTTGTTACCTGAATATATTTATTTGCCCCACCTGCTCTCCCTTGTTACCCTCCTCATTTCGTTCCCTATTTATTCTCCCTGTGTGCTCAGTCCTGTGGCAGATTTGTATCTAAAGGCTAGCTGCTGTCGCAGACAAGATTTCCAAGGTCTGTGCCAAAACCCCCGGATCGTGGCCAAACGGAGTGCAAGAAGTGGGCTGGTCCTCTCCGCACACATTTGTGAGGTTCTACAACCTAGACTTTGACTCCGCACCAGGGTCTCAAGTGTTTTTGTCTTAGTTGTGCACACCATGATTTACACTAGACAGGCAATTGTCAGTACGGCGCAGTGGGTATTATCATTCCCATAGCATCGCTACTTCCGACACAGCACAAATTACCTCGAAAGGAACATCTCAGGTTATGAATGTAACCATGGTTCCCCTGAGAAGCAAATGAGACGCTGCGTCGCCCGGCAATACTTTTGGCGTGCCTGTGATCGAATTGCTTCTGCCATTTAGAAGCTGCCATTGTTTGGTCTGGTTGCGCTATATAGCTTCCTGGTGATGACGTCACACGCTACGGACTGATGTCCCGCCATGCGATTGGACTGATTTCCCAGGTGCTTTAAAGACGCCATCACGCAGAGGCTTTCCCATAGCTTTGCTACTTCCGACGCAGCATCTCATACCCTTCTCAAGGAATCATGGGTACAGTCGTAACCTGAGACGTTTCCTTGCTCCTCTGTCTTGTATTGTCTTTGTTTTACAAAGCTGTTACGTTTGTTCCTGTGTTTGCTCCTGGATGAATTACCTGGTTTCTTTTGTTTACTTAAATAAAATCTTCTGTTTGAAGATACTCAACTCTCTTCTCCTTTCTTGGCTGAAACGTGACAGAACACCAGAACCAAAAATACATGAAGCAGACGCCATCTACCCCAAGGACCAGCTCCCATCTCTGTATCAGGGAGGACAGCCAATAGAGGATTTTGTTGAGGACTTTTTAGATCTGTGTCACCAAGTGAGTTGGAATGAGAGCACATTGAAAATTTTGGAGTGGGCTTGACAACAAACTCCTTCAGATCAACATGACATCATGACTTTGCGTAAACATACACGCCACTTTCAAGTCAAGTGGCGTGTTATCTATACGCATTTTGATCTATCCGCGTGTATGTCCACGCCGAAATGAACCGTCATCTTTTGCGTGTATGTATGTGTACGCCGTTAAATGTCCGAGCAAAACGAAGCAAAATCTATATCTACATCTGTGGAGCGATATTTTTTTTTCCTAGGATGGTAGGAGAAGACACATAAATGGTATTAACCCCAGTGACGGGTAGGTTTAGGGACGGGGTTGGGGTAGGTCATATATTTATATACATAATACAGTAATGTAACGTTAAGTCAAAGGCGTTGATAAACACGCTGGAAAGCGATTATGCGTGTTGATAGCATGCCAAAAATGGAAATACGAATTGGCGTTTCATACATACGCCATTTCATGAGATCAGTCTGTTCAGATAATGCCAATGGGGAAAAAGCAGTTGTTTGTAACTCCACTACATCAAGTATGTGCTGTGGGTGACTGGTTCACCCCTAACTGTGGAGGTGGAAGCCCACGCCACACCATATATGCCCATTCCAGCAATCCCTGCCTCAAATCATCCAGTGGACATCATAGAGCCCAGCCAGTTATCAGCCACGCCCCCACGGACTTCAAGCCAGAACCAACCGCATGCCAAGTCTGACCAGGTGCCTGAGCTGGCACCAACATCCGTCGTGTAATAACTTCTCCCAAAAATCAATGCCCTACAAATCAATGCTTTTACTGCAGAAATGAAAGTAATGATGACATTTTTGGTGACTGGAAAAAAAAATGCAGCAGTGCACTGGTGATGACTTAGCCACAGTAAGAAGGGATATTTATTTTTAATAATAACGTTTGCTTAAACCAGAGGTGTCCAAACTCAGTCCTGGAGGACCACTGCCCTGCAGAGTTTAGCTCCAACTTCACCAGCTTCAACACACCTGCCTGGAACTTGCTAGTATGCCTAGTAAGACCTTGATTAGTTGGTTTAGGTGTTTAATTAGGCTTGGAGCTAAACTCCGCAGGACAGTGGCCCTCCAGGAGCAGGATTGGACACCCCTTGCTTAAACCATCAAAATATGAGGAAAATATTTAATATTTTTAAAAATAGGTTAAATATGAGAGAAGAATACAACCCTAAACTTGATTAAGGCATGTATCTATCAAAATTATTTGGCAAAAAAGACAATGAAACTATAGGTTTTATTTTACTATGAAAAAAAATGCATTAAAAATGCATAGAAAAACAAAAAGCTCACAAGAAAAAGCATACATTGTTATTGACTACAACATAATTAGTTATTAAAGGGGTGGTTCAGGATTTTGGACATCGGACCTCATTTCCAAGTTAGCCTGGGTGTTATTTATCAGTGGAGACAGTTTAAAAAAAAATTCATCCAGTTGTTCCAGTTGCATAGTTCGCCTGTGCTAGGCTAGCGCGAGTCAACGGTAACTGCTAGCCTGCCATTAAAACAGTTTTACCCACTCCACAGTACACCAAACGCAAATAAATTATAACGCCAGACTATCGATGTAAATGTCAGTTGAGCGAACTGGAAGGACTGGATGAAATGTTTTGAAAACTGTCTCCACTGATAAATAACACCCAGGCTAACTTGGAAATGAGGTCTGATGTCCAAAACCCTGAATTTTTTTTTGCGTGTGTTCATAATTTATTTGTATGACATCCTAGCCAAAAATTATGTCTGCACAATCCGCTTACAATATCTTTAACTAATTTTTATAAAATATTTTATAAAGTGTGAACATCAATTTTCCAAAGCTGGTCAACACTTTTGACCACTACTGTATGGCAGTTCATTGACTTTCCAACTGGTCTTCAAACCGTGCAAACACTCTGGTCAAAACTTAAGCCTATTCTCAAGTGCATTTTTGAGAAGTTGTATACGGCCCCAGATCAAGATCAGCCTTACAATGAGAAAAAAGCATGTCGTGTATGGATGGAAAGATGCCAACTATTTCAGAAACAAACCCAGTGAGGGATCCTCAAGGACATACGGCAGGAAGCCGTGAATGGTGTTATCATGACCTGTCGGGTCCTGCATGCTGGGCACCTCTGTTCATACCAATATATGAGAGAGAGAGAGAGAGAGAGAGAGAGAGAGAGAGAGAGAGAGAGAGAGAGAGAGAGAGAGAGAGAGAGAGAGAGAGAGAGAGAGAGAGACTTCATAAATAATCTGGATCAAACCCATTTAATCACTTTAGTGTTCTGTACATCTCTTCACTAGGTGTCAAAAGTTAGGAATAAATAAGTAATAAATAATAAAAAAAATTAATGATTTTGAAAGACGTCTCCTTTTGCTGCATTTTTTTTATCAAAAATATAGTAAAAACAGTAATATTGTGAAATGATATTACAATTTAAAATAACTGCTTTCTATTTTAATATATTTTAACATGTAATGCACTCCTGTAATGCAAAGCTAAATTTTCAGCACCATTAACTCCAGTGTCAGTGTCACATGATCTTTCAGAAATAATTCTGTGAGAAACATAAAACTCTAAATAAGTCAGTGAACATTTTTTGAGATCATCATGCATCATGTGTTAGATGGTTATGCAGTCATTTACCTACTTCTGTACCCAGAAGTGAGTTAAACCTGACAAAATCTTCAAAAACATCCTTTTGGGGATGTCCTCATTTGTAAAAACAGGTTTGTTTGTTTGTTTTAAGTTTTCTTTTCTTAAATTGTAAAAATGCAGAAAGTTTTCTGTTAGGGTTAGGTTATAGTATTTATAACTACCTGTATGTATAAAACAATAGAAGTCTATGCAATGTCCCCATTTAGATAGCTAAGTAAATATGTGTCTGTTACCATGAGTGGAAATCTCGGGAGCATATAAAAGGCCTAAAATGAATGTGCTGAGGCGCATGTGGGATATGGAGAGGTGTTGTGTACCCTGAGGCCTGTAACAAGGCTGAGCGTTGCAGCTTTCAACGGTGGGAGGTTTGGGTTTGGCCTGGCACTCCTCTACCCTGTACAGGTTTCTCTGTCTGTCTGAACAGATCACCTGCCGTTCCCGCAGCCCCGAGCCACAGCTCTTAGAGCACTTGAGAGAGAGAGAGAGAGAGAGAGAGAGAGAGAGAGAGAGAGAGAGAGAGAGAGAGAGAGAGAGAGCAGGTAAGGTTATGTCATATATAATTAAGAGGGAGGGTGCATGCATTTCCAAGGTTTGTCTGTACTTAAAGGCACAGTATGTCGTTTTTCACCACTAGAGGTCGCCTATTCAAAACAAAGGCATAGTTTGATGACGCCAAGAATGGGAGTTGTTGTCTTCACCTCACAGTCGGTGGAAAAAAATCCGACGGGACTCGGGCAGAAATAATAGGTAACACTTTACTTGAAGGGGTGTGCATAAGACTGACATGACACCTTCATAACCATGACATGACACATGTCATGAATATGAAGGAGGTTTTATGCATATTTATGACTGCCATTAAGTGTCATTCGCTCAATTATGACATTTTTAATGCAAATATGACATTGTTTGAGATGTCTTTGTTATGACAACTTGACATAAAGCAATACATCATAACCTGTCAGTGTCTTGGTCATGACAACTTGACTTTATTACCAAGACAACATAAATTGTCATAAACATGACATAGCAGATTAATTATCAAACTTAAGAAAGCTTTATGGGTTAACATTACATTAAACTGTCATGTGGTTGGTTTTGACATTGGCTGTCATGAGGCCATTATAACATTTTAATGACAAATTCAATGTGTACCACTGTAGTTGAGGTCAAGAAACATATTCATGACACAGTTATAATGGCCTCATGATAGCCAATGTCACAACCAACCACATGACAGTTTAATGTAATGTTAATCCATAAAGCTAAGTGGTTTCTTAAGTTTGATAATTAATCTGCTATGTCATGTTTATGACATATTTATGACAATTTATGTTGTCTTGGTAATAAAGTCAAGTTGTCATGACAAAGACACTGAGAGGTTATGATGTATTGGTTTATGTCAAGTTGTCATAACAAAGACATCTCAAACAATGTCATATTTGCATTAAAAATGTCATAATTGAGCGAATGACACTTAATAAGACATAAACATGCATAACACCTTCATGATTATGATTATGAAGGTGTCATGTCAGTCTTATGCACACCCCTTCGAGTAAAGTGTTACCAAATAATATTCATGGATGAGATTATTGATGTTACTGTAGTATAAAGCAGAGCAGGGCCGAGTGCTGTGGAGCGTAACGAGTAACGATTGCTAATGAGAGACGAGCACGACACACGGTTCAGGAGCAGTGGAGACGCCTCTTCAGCTTCTTCCTTTTATCATTTACATTTGTGTGTTGAAAATGATGCTATAACGTTGCTCTGTGCGTTCGCTCGGCGGCTGCTATGAGACACTTGATGCACACTGCACTAAAGCTAGATCGATATTACAATATCATTTTTGTAGAGTATCTGGTTTCGTTTTGAGGAGATAGCGATCTTTTTGAGGCCGGACCCCTGGCTGTGAGTGTGTGTGTGTGTGTCAAGGAACGCCATTAGGGACAGACTTTCTGTGGACTCGCTGGTGAGTTACTAAAGGCGAGTCGAAGGTTAAAAACTTTTCCCCAACTTAGAATGGTTATGTCATGTGAGCCTGACCAGATACTCTACATTTTAAAGCTGCAGTCCGTAACTTTTTTAAGTTAAAAATAATCCAAAATAATTATATTAAAAAAAACATATTCTGCCAGTGGTCAAAACTATCTGCTTGCCATAGCTAGATTCAAAACGGTTAGCTTGTAATAATGATTTTAATTCCAGTGGTACTGGTGGGTTTCCGCGGGAAATTCGAGCATGTCTTTGCGTCATGACGTCACACCCGTACACATAAAGAAGGAGTTTCGGCTAGCCGGCTATACTGCGCGTGACGAGATGTTTAGATGTATAGGCTTTTCTCGCAGCACTTTACATAATTAAACTTATGGCATCCAGAAAGATCCAAACAACAATCATCAGTGTCAACTGGAGATTCAGCAGTTATAAAACCCAAAAGACTTCGTACTTCGGATTTAAGGTGGCTAGAGAAAGAGAAAGAAACCGTCTCATGCGAACACAAGGATTTAAACATCGGCGGGGCTTTTGAAAAGTGCGTGAACTCCGTGTTTTGAAGGGGTTCGAAACGGAAGAAGAGACGGCCTTTTTCTGCTGAACAAGTAAGACATTTCAATAGTTCAATCGTGTAACAGTACGTTTTCTTAATTCACACAGTTATGGAGTTTCCTTTGTTGTGCCTTTCTCGTTTTGCTATTATGGAGAATATGAATTCTGAACTACACAGGTCACCATAAAACACATTAAATTTAACATTAGTCACGCAATGCTGATGTTGTTAACATGAACAATTTGAGAACAAAGTAGGCTATAATTTGCACGGTTGCTGTAAATCGCGTTGATTAAATCTAACGAAGCTTATCATGTCGAATGCTTTTTCCCCCTTAGTTGGTCAGAACAAAAATGGATTTTACTTACTTGTTCAGAAGACATTTTCTTATGAAAATTCTTATGTTGGTCAAACTTTCAAAAAGTGAATCTGTGATTCTGTATGACAGTATCCACACAGCGCGGTGACTGACAGCAGCACTCGCCTCAAAGCACTGTGTTCATCCGCGCTGTTTCATGCCGATTTACAACCCACGTAAAGATGATAATTCCGCGAATCACTGCAGTTACAGATTCCGAACAGAGAGATGGCAACAAAGAGGAAAAGCTACGGACTGCAGCTTTAATAAATGCTGGATGACTTGTGTTGCTAAATGGCATGCAATTCATTTTAAAACATATTGTATGACAGAGATAACGCTGCATTACTGTTACTAAAAATAAAGCTGTGTCTGATTATGTTATGTTAGCCACTTAACAAAAGAGTGTTTTTCCCTGAGGCATGGTAAAAACATGGTACTTGCGCAAAATCAAGAAAACAAGCGATTCAAACAATAAGACTAACTGTGTTGAGCTGTATAACAATTCGTTTTCTGTCGTTGAATGTATTTAAACAGTTGTTCCCTTGTCTAATAAAACATATAATATATTAAAGGATTAGTTAGCACAAATGCTCGCCTTGCTCTGTTCTGTGATGCGCGTCCGTGACGTCACGTAATACGCAATTACATTGAAAAGGTCTCACAGAACAGATTCATCACAGAACAGAGCAAGGCGAGCATTTGTGCTTATAAAACTTCAACTTTTTTATTTATTTTTGAAATGACCGATGGTTTCGCTAGATAAGACCCTTATTCGTCGTCTGGTATCGTTTAAAGCCCTTTGAAGCGGCACTGAAACTGTCATTTGGACCTTGAACCGTTTGGGCCCCATTGAAGTCCATTATATGGAGAAAAATCCTGTAATGTTTTCATCAAAAACCTTAATTTCTTTTCGACTGAAGAAAGAAAGACATGGACATCTTGGATGACATGTGGGTGAGTAAATTATCAGCAAAAGTTTTTTAAAAAGTGAACTAATCCTTTAAAGTGTCTTTGTTTTTTCCATGGTTTCTGCACAATATAACTGGAAATCGAGGGTATAATGTCATTGATAGGCGACGCCATGACACGGCCCGTGTACTGGTTAAAATTGCGTATTTCTCTGGATTTAAACACTATTGGAAACATCTGGGATAATGGAAGTACACAAGTCAACAAAATAAATAAAACTGTTCTAGTGGTTTTTGGATATTTTAATCCAAAAATCGTACATATTGTGCCTTTAAGGAGTGTATTATTACTCACCAGGCCCCAGTCTCCTATATGCCAGCCAATGGGGCTCCTGCAGACGGGCATCTCACAGTCCTGTGTCCTGGGCGGCTTCGGTTGAGTCCCGCATGCATAGTCTTCCAGAGGAGCTCCGTCTGAACCCACACACACTACATCTCGCATCTGTTTCCCAGAGCCGCATGTCACAGAACACTACAAAAACATCAACATGTTTGAGTTTGAAGCAATGGCATACTAGCAATGTTTTTGAAAATTAAACCTACTTAAGAACCATTAAGATCTTTTCACATAGTGACATTCATTTTAATGACAACTAAGCACATTTTCTTTCAATTGTTATGGTATACCTTTACAATAACGCCCCATTAGTTAATGCATGACCTAATATTAACTATTAATGAGTACTACATTTGTTCCAGTATTTAGTCATCTTTGTTAATCTTCATTTTGTGTTCATTTGTGTGTGTGTGTGTGTGTGTGTGTGTGTGTGTGTGTGTGTGGTTTCCTACAAAGAAATGTAGCTTAGAAAACACAGGTTACAACATTGTATAACATCACTGAATAATATTATACATATCTTTATATAGTGCTAAATCATATTTTTTTTATCACTATACATTGGTTGACACAGTGAGGTAAATTAATGATGCAGTTACTAAAACTGCGCTGATTAAAATGGCATCGTAAAGATGCCCAAATAAAGGTGCGAACAGAATACAGTGTTTAATATACAGAATACATACAGTGACATTAGTTTTAATAAGCAAGTTGAGCATCACATGAAACTGTGACGAGTCATGCATATTGCAAAACATAACGATTATATACACTTTCAAGCTAAATAATCATATTGATTCAAGCATTTCATATTTATCAGCAAAAATTATAGCGATCCTGAAGAAGAAAACTTCTCACTCTCTCTGTCTCAAAAGCGTAGCTATCTGGGCCAATATGAACTAACGCCGTAAGGTGGATAATATATTCCACAGCCCATCGATCATTTTCAGTTTTATACTGCCACCTGTTGAGATTGAACTTTTGTCGAGATATCGAGAAAATATTAGGTCGTGATCACGAAAAAATAACTTTTGTTATGTCGAGATCCCGAGAAAATTAAGTTGTGATCTCGTGAAAACAGGAAAGAAAAATAATAATAATCCATGGCCTCTTAGGGCTTCAGTAGTTACATGCACTTACTGTAGTAATAACAGTAACTTATTAATGATTACATGCAACTAACCATAAACCAAACCCTAATTATATACTAATAATAATATAATTATTAATAATTATTGTGGTAATTATATACCATGCTGGTAATTATGGAAGCTTGTGTCCGCCACAGAATAAAAAACAAAAAAGGTAATTGCGACTTATCTCCAGTTTTCGTGATATAAAGTCGTAATTGTATGTTATAAAGTCAGTCTTGCATGATATAGTCGCAATTGCATGTTATGAAGTCAGAATTGTGAGGTATAAACTCGCAATTCTGAGAAATAAAGTCACATGTAAACGTACAATTGTGAGATAAAAAGTCGCAATTATGTTTTAAAATGTTTTATTCTGTGGCAGAAACAAGCTTCCATAGATAATTACTATTACTCAGTACTTAACAATATAATTACAGAACTTCTGTAATTCTGAATCATTTGGAATTTCTAAAGAACATTTTTAATGGTCATACATTTTTTATTTAATAATCTTAATTTTCTTAAAGCTGCAGTCCAGCGTTTTTCCTCTTTGTCGCCATCTCTGTTTGAAATCAGCAATTGCAGTCATTCGCGGAATTATCAACTTTACGTGAGTTTTAGTTCGACACCCTCGACACGGCACAGCGCGGAGGAACACAATGTTTGAGGAGACTGTGTGAGGCTGTCAGTCGCCGCGCCGGTGTGGAAACTGGCATTCAGAATCACAGATTATTCTTTTTGGAAGTATGACCAACATAATAAGTTTCACCGGAAAATGTCATCTGAAGAAATAACGTCCACTTTTGTTCTTCTGACCAACTAACTGAAAAAAAGCATTGCAGTAAATCGCGCTGATTAAATCTAACGATCGATTATCATATCACGTCAAACCGTGCAAATTAGACTTTGTTCACAAAGTGTTAATGTTCAACGTCAGCATTGCGTGACATTTAATACCCTTCAGATATTTATCCTTGTCTTTGCATGGGCCGGTTGCAGTCTCTCTTTCCAAACTCTCAGTCCGAAGTCTTTTGCATTTTACAGCGGGTGAATCTCTTGTTGTCGCTGGTGATTGTCGTTTGAACCTTTCTGGATCCGCCATCAAATTAATAAGTTTAATTATATCAAGTGCTGTGAGAAAAGGCTATAAATCTCCACCTCCAACATCCTCACACTCATAGCCTACCAGCCGAGACTCTTCTTTATGTGTACAGATGTGTGTGTACAGATGTGTGTGTACAGATGTGTGTGTGTGTACAGATGTGTGTGTACAGATGTGTGTGTGCAGATGTGTGTGTACAGATGTGTGTGTACAGATGTGACGTAATGACGCAAAGACATGCTCGAATCTCCCGCAGAAATCCACCAGTACCACTGGAGTTAAAAACATTATTACAAGCTGACCGCTGTGAATCGAGCTACGGCAAGCAGAGAGTTTTGAACACTGGCTGGTTATGTACTTGCTCAAAAATTTATTTGGGATCATTTTTAACCCAAAAAAGTTACGGACTGTTTTTTTATTTTGGTGTGAACTAAGACTAAGGCAGGTTTTGTGAGATTCAGCATTACACATACCTGACTCCAGCCGGAAATGCTGTATTGAGCGCATTTCTGCATGTTGCAGTTGTGTTGGCTGAGAGGTCTGGGAGCGTAAGCGGCGCACTGAGAATCCTCAACCACTCGCGATCCTGCAGAGTCGTGAGACATACACTCCACTCTCCTCACCTGAAGACCCCCGCCACACGTCACCGGACACGGGTTCCACTCGCCAGTCGTCCAGCTGGCACACACACACACACACACACACACATCACCACACAGCAAGGACAATCAGAGCGAGTCAGCATTCACTACACCGGTCCAACCCAAGAAGCTGCACACTTCAGCTTTGGGTCATCAACATTCATGGACTATTTGAATATTCTAGGTTGAAAACAATTTAAGATCTATTAGCACACAAATATTTTGACTCGTCTCTCAGTTGTTAAATGCAATTTACAGTGATGCATTTTCAGCATTATCCATCCTTTTGAGCTGGGAATGCTTTTCTAGCAGATGAACTTTTGATTATGTATTACAGAAGTAATCGCAGGATAGTTTGCCCCATGTAAACAACACTTTAACATTCCTCATGTGCCATTCTGGTACACACAGACACCGAGAGAAAGTAAACTGAGTAATAAGCTTTGTTATTGCTTCTATCAAATTAGATTTTAATGCTAATACATGTAATATTCAAGTGTTAAGAAACTGTGTAACAATCACATATTAATAGCAATATACCCTCTAATAATACCATATTTTAAACATTTCTTCACAAGGCTGTTGGATTCTGTTTTAAGTGCACAGATGTAAACACCCTGGAAAAAAATGATAACCCAATTGTTACCTTAAAGACCTGTTTTTTCTCGATTTAATGCATAAACATGTATTTTGTTGGTATAAATGTATGTATTTAGGTGCATTCAGCATTATTAAATAATATTTTTGACTTGAATAAACATGTCACGCCTGTTTTGAGGTTTTGTTTAGTTTATGTTTTCATGTCTTTAATTTTGTATAATTCTCAGTCATGGTTCCTGTTTGTCATGTGATTCCTTGCCCTCATGTGATCATGTCATGTGCCTCCCTAGTCTCATTCTCATTTTCTGATTGGTTCTCTTGTTTCTTGTCTCACGTTCTCATTGGTTCATTGTTCATTGCCAGTGTCATGTTAAGTCATTAGTCTCTGTGTGTGTATATATATATATAGCCCTCATGTTACCATTGTCTTTGGACTAGCTTTGTTTCATGTCATCCTACTATTGGTAAGTCTTATGAAGTCAAGCCATTGTTTTGTTCACTTTGGATTATTTTCAATAAACTGCACATGGGTTCATTTCAACTTGCCTTCAATGGAAGTTTGTGACAAAACCACTTAATTTAGATGTTATCATATTTAGTTTTTTTTTTCCAGTACATATTTTGGTAACAATAAGTTCTCATTAGTTAATGTGACTTGTAACTTGAAATGTAATTAACTGTATTTATTAATCTTTGTTAAAATTGGTTAACAAAAATAAAACTGTTCTTTGTCCGTGCCAGCTCAGGTTCATTAAATATTAACAGATACAACTTTTAATAATGCACAAGTAAACATTGAAATTAACATAGAGCCTTATTGTAAATTGTTACCCATATTTTAGTTTTTTTTACAACAAGACAGACAAGTCAAAATTATTTACTGTGGTAATCGATAGCATGCCACAAAAATTACATTTAACCTAGAATATTTGGTAACGCTTCCTTTTACAGTCCTGTTACCCATGTACTTACAATGTACTTATTATAGTAATTATAATTACTGGGTAATAACTAGGTACTAACCCTGAACCTACCCCTAACCCATGTACTTGCCTTATATTAGCTAGTACTTTCTAGGTAAGTACACGTTAGTACTGTACTGTAAAAGGAAGCGTTACCGAATATTTAAGTGAAAGGACAAAAGCTGTTTTAATAGTTTACAAAGGCCTTCACACCACTACACATACGTTACACAAACATATAAAGATTTGTGCATTCTGGGAGATTAGAAGGACAAAGCAAGTGTTCTACAGAAACACTTTGCCTGTCAAAGTCAAGCAGGTGCTCCCAGAAACCTGAAGATGAGAGAAAAAAATGAAGATGTGAGTCACGGGGGGACAAAAGAATTTGGCCTTTCCCACAACAAAAGGGCAAAAGTTGTTCTCTGGCAGGTCGATCTGCTCAGGGACCACAACCGTTTCAGGTTTCTGTACATAAACATCACAGGAAAACCCCAGAGGGCACCACCACGACAAGTCAAAGGATCTTTTTGTTTTTAAAGACCAAATGCTGCTTTCTGCTTCACACGCAAATATATTCAGATAAACAAGGCAAACTAAATCAAAAGAACACAGAAGACACCCAGATAGTGGACTCGTCAACAAAACATCTAGGCTATATAATACATGCAGGCCATGATTTACTAGGGTCGCATAAAAAAAACGTCTCAGCTGATCTACTAAGGGGACTGTGTTATTCATTCATAATCATTTTTATGTGCCAGCTTTTATCTCACAACAGAATGGAGAATACATAGACATTCATTCAAAACATTTGCATTTATGTGACACATTTCTCTGTTTTATGCACACAAAATCCTAATTGAATTTAATACGTTGCTTTCATATTACAACAAAATACAGTATAAACCAGAAGCGGTAAAGCGTGAATACATGAATGTTTTCCATTTAGCACATATTTCTTTCCTGAAAATGTTAACTTTTCAACATTAACTGGTCATTTTACTTTTCAGTATAAATCTGTGGTGTGCAATGGCCTGAACATGTAAATAATATCACCGTTTTTTATTTATTTATGAATTAATCGGATATCGTCCCCCCACTCCGTAATTATTCTGAAATTGTCATATGCAGATCAACTGCAGAGAGCGGGCTCTCACTAAATAAGCTGATCATATCATTTCAAAAGATATATAAGGGTACTGTAAAGGACAGTTAAGTAAATAAATAGTATAATACATATAAATAGTGCATTTACTGTAACATATGTACATTTATACATAATTTTAATATTCACTACCATACAGAATTTGGGGTAGGTTTTTTTAATGTTTTGAAAGAAGTCTCTTATGCTCACCAAGGCTGCATTTATTTGATCAAAATACAGTAAAAACAATAATATTGTGAAATATTATGACAATTTAAAATATTTGTTTTCTATTTCAATATATTTAAAAATGTAATTTATTCCTATTGTCACGTTGTAGCAGGCAAAGAGCAGACACAGCAGCAGATGAAGAAAATACAAGAAGAAGAGAGTAAAATGCAATAACAACGAAACAGAAAGCACATTGGCATAGACAATGACCGACAACTAAAGACTACACTCCACGGCGTCATCAGCAGCGCTCAAAGGCTCTGCCCTTATGTTGTTGAAGTTTGGTTATTTAGGAAATTCATAAAAAATAATAATAGAGCAAGATACCCTGTTGAAATATGTGAGATATGTGGTTTATATAAACTGAAAAGGTAAAGTATAAATTAAAAATGATTGTGACCGGCGTGAAGGGGGAGGAGAATTTATACGTGCGTTACGTTTAGTCGATAAAACTTTTACGCAAAGGATACACCCATGAATCCTCCTTCATCGCTCCTCGACTCCTCGCGGTGAAATTAGAAAATTGAGATGTCCTTCAAGATGGCTGAGCTCGATCGGTTTCCGGGTCACAGGATGGAGGACGGAGGAGCGAGGAGGGATATTGAGAAGCACCCAAGATAATTGGCAACTAAAAAAGACACAGGTGGATGTTAATTAATAACTATGTAAGCAAACTAGTAACTGGAACAAAAAGAAACAGGAACTACTACAAAGGAAAGCAGGAACACACAAACTAAGTCTATATATATACATAACTGAAACTCAGGCTGAACATTCCATTAATCCCCTCTCCCGAAAGGCGTGTCATGGAGGACTTCGGAGGAGGACAGGGAGGAGACAATGGAGTGAGGATCCAAGGGGGAGATGATGGAGGGAGAAGCCAGGGGGTGCTTCTCAATACTCAAACTGAGGCTTCCTTATTTCGTCGCTCCTCCATCCTCCAGTCTGTGAACTGGAAACCGATCGAATTCAGCCATCTTGAAGGACATCTCAATTCTCTAATTGCACCGTGAGGAACGAGGAGTGAGGAGCTTCCAGAAGAGCGATGAGCGAGGATGCACAGGTGTCTCCTATGCGGAAGTCTTTGACCCACGTATAAATTCTCCTCCCCCTTTACATCTGTCCTTTACCTTTGCAGTTTAAATAAACCATATGTCACACATATATCAATAGGGCATCGTGCTTTCTCTTTATTATTTATTAATTTCCTTCATAACCAAACTTTAACAACATAAGCGCAGAGCCTTTGAGCGCAGCTGATGACGCAATGAAGTGAGGCTCGAGTGATCAAGAACATTCCAATATACAAATAAGCTTTCCCTCAATTGCTCTGTCCTCATTTTCTTTCCTTGCAGCCTTGCCTCCCATCCTACAGGGAGTGGGGCTGAGAGGCGAGGAAGGAAGCAAGGAATGGAAACATGGATACACAAACAAGAAATGAGAAGCACCCAGGGAGTAGATGATGAAGGGAGGAACCAGGGAGTGATCCGAGGAGCCAGGGAGGAGACAATCCTCGATACTATTCCTTATAAAAAACAATCGGATTGCTTTGATATCGCTACTTAGACCCAACTTTGCGAATCTCGGCTACTAGCCTTTAGTCCGCTAGCATTTCACGCGTGGCCTCGCGCCTATTGACCGTCTGATTTTACACCCGTTTCACTGAAAGGATACAGGTTATATCCGGCATTTCAGTCCTAAATTACTAGTGATATTGGTAGTATCACTACTAATCTACTGTTCATCTGTTATGGCGAACATATCAGATGTGTGTCTAACGTTACCTCTGAGTGCAGGTGAGGACACATTCGAACTGATTTCGGTACGATTGGAGCTTGAATCGGTGGAGAAACAGATCCGTGGTCTGCTAGAGAGGCAAGCCGAGCTGCGGGATCGGCGATCAGCGCTTGAAACGTCACGCGCCGATGCACACAAGTCAGTGGTTAGTAACTTTTTGACTCCGACTTCGTCCACTCCGTGCGTTTCTCTGCCCAGGAGGACGCGATCATCTCTGGCATCATTCACTCCGGCACCAACCCAACACCATGGACCCTGGGTGATCCCACAGCGGAAGACACGAGCCAGGACCAGAGCAAGAAC